AGACACACACAGACACACACACACACACACACCATTGTGGTTTCCAGGCTGGTAATTTTTCTTGTTAAGATTTACCCTTTCTCTAGAAAACAGCAGGTCCTGAGAAACAGTCCCTGGTGCCGGGTTGAAATAATGTATTATTTCTTGTCTTCCTGGAAACTTCCTACTGAGATCTCTTCATTAAAACCCAGTCAGACACCCAAAGACTCCCTACAGAACTCACAACAGCTTTTATTTCAACTTCAGAAGTCAGTATGACTTCAGGAGCCACAGAGAGTCAAGATAGTCTCACACAAAATGTAGAGCACAAGGTCTTTGTTTCTTCTTTTACTAGGTCTGATAAAAGAAAAACTTACGCATGTTCATATTTTACCACATTTTGTAACTCATGAATAGAGGGGCATGCATCACTCTGCCAGAAGGAGAAGGGAGAAATTTTAAGGCATTTGTAGAAGCAAGCCAAGAAATACAATTTTGATCGGTTAGAAGTTCGTGGGTGCTTTCTAACTGGTCTAATTTTTGGTTTCAGTTCATGGTTTACACTAGTTGTTAGTTTGCTCAGGTGGGATTTAAAGTTTGAGAGTCACCATATTAATGACATTCAAATAACATTCACCCTTCTAACTACAGTTACTGAGTTTTCTTCTAAGTTTCATGGGTTCAGCCTTTTATATTTAGGCCGCTGATCCATTGTAACTTAGTTTTTGTATGTTCTGTGAGTTCAGAATCAGTTTTCCTGCGGATCTTTAGTTGTCTGGAGGTATTTATTGGAGAGAGTTTTCTTCTTTTGTTGTTTATACAGACAAGCTGCCTTTTGTACACAGGTCTTGGACTAACTTTGCTGTACTTGCTTATTGGCTTTGGTGGCTTTCTTGGTGGAGTATTGGGATTTTCTATACATAGGATCATTCTGTCTGCAAGTAGAAATGGATTTACTTTACATTTTTTTTCTAATTTGGATACATTTAATTTCTTTTATCTTTCCACCCTTCCTTCCTACCTTCTTTTCTTGGGGTAGAGCCTTGCTACGTAGCCTTGGCTCGCCTCCGATTCCTGAGTGTTGTGATTAAAAGCCAGCCTTATTTCATTTTGCTGCCTAAACGCTCTAGCCTGAACTTCTCTATGTTGAACAGCAGTAAGGAGAGCAAACATCCTGGCGATGCCCCTTATGTTAGGAGAGAGCTTTTAGTCTTTCCTCATTGAATGTGATGTTAGCTGTGGGTTATAAATAAAGACCCCTTAACATATCAAGTGGTTTCTTCCTGTCAATAGTTTTCTAATTTTTTTTTTTAAATCACTGCAGGACGTGCTATGACAACAGATGTTTTTTTCTGCAATAGCTCACCTAGTGACGTTGGCTTTCCTCTCTGTTCTACTGATGCCCTACATTGGTTGCTGAAATCTTTTAGCTTTGTCCTTGGAATGCCGTTCTCTAGCTTGGGTATCCGTAAGACAGAATCAGCCAGGAATTGTTTTCTTCTTTCCCGACTCTTTGGAAGCGTTTGAGAAGGATGGGTGTTGATTCCTAAGTGTCTGTAGTAATACCATCTGTTATCACTTTCCTGTCGTTGGTAGGAAGATTGTGATTTCTCAGTTTCTTTGCCTGTTTCAGGTCTGTTTAGGGTTTTCTGTTTCTTCTTGAGTCAGTTTTGGTAGTCCGTGGATTTAAAAAAAAAATCCTACCTACCTAGCTTATCTAATTTGGTGGCAAGTGATTGTTCATAATATCATCTTGTATTTTATTTATGAAAGATTGGTTATAATACCCTAAACCATCAGTTCTCAACCTGTGGGTCACAACTCCTTCGGGGGTGTTGAATAATCCCTTCACAGGGGTCTTCTATCAGTACCTCAGATATTTACATTATGACTCCTTACAGCAGCAGGATTACAATTAATGAAGTAGAAATGGAAATAATTTTACAGTTGGGGGGTCACCCCAACACGAGGAGCTATATTTAGAGGCCACAGCATTAGGAAGGTTGAGCACCTAAATCACTTCTGATTTTAGATTTCTTTTTCCATATTCTTTTTTAAGAAAGTCAGTCAGGCTAAAAGTATGTTGACTTCTTGGTTTATTTTATTTTATTTATGTATGCATATACATCAGTGCATCATGTGAGTGCCTGCTGCTAGCAAAAGCCAGAAGGTGGCTTTGGGATTCCCTGGAACTGGAATCTTGGATGTTGTCAGCTGTTTGAGCTGCATCAGCTCAGATAGTGATGTTGGTTTTCCCTCTCTGTTCTATTGATACTTTACATTGGTTACGGAAGTCTTTAGCTTTATCTTTGGATGCTTTATCTGGCTTGGGTATCAGTAATACAGAATCAGCTATTGGTTTCTTCTTTTCTGTCTCTTCGGAAGAGTTTGAGATGTGGTGATGGAAGTCGAACCCAGGTTCTCTGCAAGAGCAACAAGTGCTCCTAATGTTTGAGCCATTTCCCCCACACACCTTTTTTTTTTTTTTTTTCCTCCTTCTCCAATCAGGGTCCTCTCTCTATATAACTGACTGTCCTGGAATTCACTATGTAGATCAAGCTGGCCTCGAACTCACAGAGAGCCAACTGCCTCTGTCTCCAGTGCTGGGATTAAAGGTGTGTGCTGATGCTTTTGCTGTTGCTGAGAAATTATTGTTATGAAGTCCTGCCTGGTCTTAAACTTGCAGTGATCTGCCCGCCTTGGCCTCCCCCGTGCTGGGATTATGGACATGTGCTAGCATGCCTGGGCCTTCTACTTTTTATTTTCAACACTGGGACTGGAACCAGACACTTGGGTATGCTAGACAAGCTACCCATGAACTACATCTCAACGTTCTTACTGCGCTTTAAATGTAGGTGTTTGCTGTTCAGTGAAATGTCCTAGATGTGTTAGTCAGGTCTAATTGTCTTGTCTCCTATGACCTCATCCATCTTCTTCTATCTTCTATTATTGGAAATGAGTATTGAAGGTTTTGGATATTATTGTAGAACTGCCTATTTCTCTTTCTTAATCAGTGGTATTTGTTTTGTGTCTTGCTTTTATGGTATTTGGTATGTATATATTAATAACCGTTAATCTTGATGAATTACTGTAATGAAAATCAGAAAGATATATATCAGTATCTATCTATCTATCTATCTATCTATCTATCTATCTATCTATCTATCGTGTGTGTGTGTGTGTGTCTGTGTGTGCAGATGTGTTTGTATGCCTATGTAGGCCTGAGGTCAACTTCACGTGGTATTCCTTGGTAGCCATCTTGAATCTTGTTTGTTGAGACATGGTTTCTCGATGGACTGGCTTGCTGATTAGATTAGGCTGGCTGGCCCGTGAATCCCAGGGATCTTCTTTCTGCCTCTGCCTCCTTGGCTCTGGGACAGGTGCAGACATTGACACTGACTTTATGTGGGTGCTGGGGATCAAACTCTGGTATTCATGCATATATATCTCAAGCACTTTACTGTATGAGCTATCTTCCCAGCTTACTGTCTTTTTTCTTTTAAAGTTTATTTAGTCTCTACTCAGATCTTTTGTTTACTATTTACGTGAGTTATTATTATTGCTATTATTATTTTAAATATTCTAACTGTAGCCAGGCATAGTGCCACATGTCTTTAATCCCAACCCCTGGGGATCAAAGGCAGACAGATCCTTTGGGTTTAAGGCTAGACTGGTTTACATAGTGAGTTCCAGGACAGCCAGAGCTATGTAGTACGACCCTGTCTCAAAATACAACAAGCAAAGAAACGAACAAAAATATTCTTTCAATGTATTTATGACTTTGGATCTAAAGTGATTCTCTTATAAACAACATATAGTTAGTTCAATATGTTACGTGTTTTTAAAATAAAGTTTTATTGGAACATAGGTGAACCCATTTGTTTACATACTATTTGTGGCAATTTTCACGCTACCGAGATAGAGTTTGAGATATGGCAGTGGAGACTCTGCGGTTTGCAGAGCCTGAAATAGTTACTGCCTGATTCTTTTTAGGATGTTTTCTGGCTCAGGTTTAGAATGCCTTTTTTAAATTTCCTTGGCTATACTCAATAGTATATAGTGTCACATAGCAATAGTCTGATGAGATTTGTCACATGTAGCCTGCTTTATCCTGAAGCCTGTAGAACGGGAAGTTCTGATCACAGATCTGGGTATTCTGAGGCCTTAGCTGGTGGAGAAGAGGAGCAAGCTTGTATCTGTAAAGTCAGGGCTGGAAGGAGGAGGACTGGGATGTGCTCACCTAGTGATGACTTCATTAATATGGTTAACTGTTTGGATTTCCTGGGATTGGGACACTTCCTAGAACACATTTTACATTCATTCGTCTGTGTGTGTGTGTGTGTTTGTGTGTGTGTGTGTGTGTAAACTTATAGATATGCAGGTAAGTGTGTGTATATGTGTGTTGAAGCCAGAAGTCAACCTCGGGTATTTTTCCTCAGGAGCTACCCCCAGTTGATTTTGGAGACAGGGTCTCTTGGTAGGGCTTAAGGCTCACGGATTATGCTAGACAGGAAGGCCAGCAAGCCCTAGGGATCTCTCTGCCTGTCTCCACACCCCTGGCACTGGGATTGCAAGTACATGCCAACATCCCTGGCTTTTTATGTGGGTGTTGGGGATTGAATTCAGGTCTCAAGTTTTGCACACAAAGCACTCTAATGACTGCACTCTCTTCTGGCTCAGTGTTTTAGTTTTAAAAGATCAGTTGCCCTATGCAAAGAACTGAGGCATGCTGGGAGTGGGGGAAAACAGTCTTCCCCAGAGAAGAAGGCACTAACTGGTTATCTAATGCTAAATGGTCAGCCCAGAAGTCATCCATACAAGTAACATATATCCAGCAGCGTATATTCATGCACATACATATGTGCATGTAATAACAACAAAAAAAGAGGCCACGGATTTGAAAGAGAGCAAGGAAAGGAATATAGAGTGATTTGGGGGGAGGAGAAGGAGAAATGTAATTATAAAATTTCAAAAAAAATATCAGTGAATCTCGAGTCTCACCCCACCCCTGTCTACTCCAGTACCATTCAGGGAAACCCCCAGCTATGCAAAGCGACGGCGTCTGGCTGGCCCGAGCGGCTTGGCATCCCCTCGGCCCTTACAGCGCTCAGCCAGTGATATCAACCTGAAAGGTGATCAGCCCGCAGCTTCTCCTGGGCCCACTCTCCGAAGCCTCCCTCATCAACTACTGCTCCAGCGGCTTCAGGAGGAGAAAGACCGTGACAGGGACAGCGGCGAGCAGGAGAATGACATCAGCGGCCCCTCAGCAGCCAGGGGTGGCCACAGCAAGATCAGGTAAGAGGGCCTGGAAGGGTCAGGATGGGTTGAGAGTTATGACAGACCTGAGCTGGAAGGCAGGGAGGAAAGGTAGTTCATGGTACCTGTGCAGTGATGGGCTGGTGGTGGGGGGGTAGAACTCCCTGATGGTTTTACTCATGCTGATCTCTGGAAGAAGCTAGGGCTCACTCTGAGGATACGGGGCAGCTGAGGGAGTTTTGGGTAGCCAACTTGTGGTTAGGGTGCTCACTACAGCATGAAAACTGGTGGTAAATTGGTTGGAAATGTCTTTCTGTGTAGTCTCAAAGCCTACATGTGAGAGCTATGGTTGTCTACCCCCCTGCCACCCTCTCCCCCCATAAGCCTGGCCCAGCCATGTATAATAACAGTACTTTAAACCTCCTTTCTGAGTTCTGGAACCTTGAGAAACCAGGATATTTGCAGTACTGGCTTCCTTATAATCTAGAGTTGGAAGCAAAGAATGGAGCCTCTTAGCCTCTGTAGGCATAAGGGTGGCCACTGAGCTGGCTCCTCTACCAGTACAGTGTAAGGGGTTTCCTTTGAGAAGCCCCCCCGGGGTGCCTGTGAGGGATAGTCTTCTTGGACCCTCAGGCACTGCCTATGTTAACCACTGGTTGTATTAGATTCCCAGAGCTATCTTTCTTGCTTCTTGCCGTTTCTCCAGAGCCAGGTATAGAGAAGGTGTTTGGAAGCCTGTTGGGTACAGTGTTACATAAGCAGCATGCTGTTTTCACAGTGTCAGGCAGCTCGGATAGCCCTACGGGTTGATGTACCCGCTGGGCTGAGCAGCAAATGCATGCCACTCAGTTAATGTCTGTTACTTAGGCTGGGCCTGTCAATACAGGCTGGTCCCCTACCCCCATGTCCCGGTTGGGTCAGAGACTAGTGTAAAGTCACAGAGCATAGGAATCAGCTTTCATGGGTACAAGTGTTTGGTAGAAGGCCTTTGATGTAAGCGTACACGAGGCTTTTCCTTCTGTTATCCCCCTGCCAGTGCAGACTGATTTCCAGGCTGTAGACTTATTGGACCCCCAAGGTTGTCTGTCCCGTTGCAAAATCACATTTCTCCCATGAAGGTTTTGCACGGCCCCTTGGGTTTTCTAGGAATTGAATGGGTTGGTGGCTGGAAAAAAAAACGCATCCTAGGGTGTTTCGGTTTGCCAGGAGGGCTGTGTGTCAATGGAACTGCGTGGCCGCCGCTGGTCCCTTTTATTTGTGTCTGTTGCAGCTGGCACAGAATAAACTCCTCTAGTCTAGGCTCTCCAGTTCACCTGCTTTTTGGGAGACAGAATTATTTCTTCTCCATTTTTATTAGGTGACTGGAGTGCCAGATGTGTGTGTGTGTGTGTGTGTGTGTACCCACGTGCCCCCCACCTCACCCTACTCCCCATCTCACAGCAGTGGTCCTGACTGGTTCTGAGGAGGTAGCCACCTGGGCTCCTGGCTGAGAAGCACTTAAATGAGTTGTGATGCAGGTTAAGGGGGCTTACCTGGTGTGACAGTGGTCTACCAGTCAGGACGTAGCAGAGCATATTGGGTGTGCTGAGAAGGAAGAGACCCTCAGGCAGAGGTTGCCTGTTAAAATAAAAACGGGAAAAAAAAACCCCAAAACCAAAAAGCCCGGAGGTATTCCTGGACCCTGGTGGGGCTGCAGTGGCTCCTTGTTGCTCCCTGTTGGCTGGGTCTGGCATAGAGCCCAGAAATATGGTCTGCAGGTTCTGCCCCCCTCGGCACCGGAGTGGAGCCTACAAGGGCAAATTTGAAGCCGGGGCAATAACTTAATCTCTGGCCAAAAGGGCAGGGTCACAGTTGTTTAGGTGGTGGGAACAGTGTAGCATAGTCTCAGAGAGCCTGGTCATTGGCAGAGCAGGCGAATTTGGCCTGGCTGGGTACTAGGGAGCCCAAACAGGCTTTTGGGTTAGAAAGGAAGATCAAGATCTCAGACTCTATACCTAAGCCAGAGAAGTGGTCTGGGGAAAGTGGCCAACATAGAATGACATGGGGTTAGGGGACAGTTGTCTAAGACAGGAGACAGGTCCAGAGGCAGGAGGATTGGGGCTCCCAGTGCAGGTTGCTGGTCAGGGTGTGAGGAGGCCGGACCACTGCGCCCCGCCTGCCCTTCCCTGGTTCCCAAAGCCTGGGTGCCAGCCCTTCTCCAGCTCCTACCTGGCAGTTCCGCCCGCCGTTGCCCAGTGCGCCCACCTTCTGGCCCTGGTTGTTTCTTTCCAGCCGCCCGCGTGGGGGTCTACGGGGGGCACCGCGGACTCAGGGCGCGCCGGCCGCCGCCGCCCGCAGAGGGAGGAGCTGGCGGAGGAGGCGGGGCGCGGAGCGGCCGTGGCATGGAGCGAGCCCGGCGCGCCCGGGAGCGCAGCCCCGCGGCCCCCGAGCC